AGAGAGACAGAGAGACAGAGAGAGAGACAGAGAGAGAGACAGAGAGAGAGACAGAGAGAGAGAGAGAGAGAGAGAGAGAGAGATGAGAATGATGATGTGAGGGCTCATACCTGGTATTGGCGATGGTCTGCATCGGGCGACATCTTCATGTACTTCGGTGGCTGCTGATGTCAACAGTTGCATTGTCAATTAGTAGGCAGATAGTAGCTCTGTGGGAGGAGATTTCATAGAAATCGCGGATGAAGGGGCGGTAGTAGTTGGCAAGACCGAGGAAGGAACGGAGCTGCAACAAGGTCGTAGGTGGGGGAAACTCGACAAGGGCGGTGACCTTAGAGGGGTCCATGTGGATACCATCAGTGGATACAATGTGGCCAAGGTATTCTACACTTGAGGTAGCAAAAGTGCATTTGCTGTTTGGCGTAAAACTTTTGATCTCTGAGAATAGAGAGGACCTGGCAAATGTGACTTTGGTGAAACCTGAAGGTGGGACTGAAGACTAGGATATCATCTAGATGACGACACAAACTTGATTCATAGTAGATTGGAAGATCGCCGGGGCATTTGTGAGGCCAAAAAGCATCACAAGGAACTCGTAATGTTCAAAGTGAGAGTGGAAGGGAAGTCTTATGAGTATTCTCTTCACGAATGCAGATCTGGTGGAGGCCACTTCGAAGGTTGAACTTTGTGAAGTACTTGGCTCCAAGGAGGCGATCAAGAAGCTCGGAGATGCGAGGCAAGGGGTACTTGTTCTTGATCATGATCTGGTTGAGGGCGCGGTAATTTGTGCACATGCAGAGTTCAGAGGTTCGACCTTTCTTGACGAAGAGGCAACTTGTACCGAAGGGGGGGGAAATTGGCTTAGTGAATCCTTTTTCAAGGGTTTCATTGAGATGTCGCTTCACTCTTCGGCCTCGGGAACAGAGAGCTGGTAGGGTGATTGACACCTGGACTCCCTCTGCAGCCTCCTTTCCTCTCCTGGACCTAACTCCTGGAAAGTAAGCGGTCGACTGAGAGCAGTTTTGCAGGTCACTCTAAGATCTTCCACTAATCTTTCCTCCTCCTCACTACTAACTGCCTCACTTATGAGCTACAATGGTATGTGATCTAAACTAGAATCCACACTGAATCCTACCTCAGCATGACACCCAACCAAGTAATAAGTTACTAATAACAATCAACTGTTTCCAGTCAGCCTGGAGAGAAGTAGTCAAGTGGTAACCAGCAATCAATGTCATGTCCTAAAGGTAAGTCTATTTCTATTTTTAGATTACTCTGCAACAAGGATTGGTCTATCCTATCTGCTGCTATTTGTCGGTTGTCACCAAATCTGTAGAACTAAAAAAAAAAAAAAAAAAAAAAATCACTTGTGGAGATGCATGCTGGATGGCAGTTTATCTACTTCGGTACCACAACGAACAATTGTCGGAATCCTTCCCCCCCCGTGTATCCCTCTTGAGTAGTCACTTGTGTCGACGTCCTGAGCATCCGGTTGTTTGTCTGAAGGTGTGCAATCCGGCCCACCCCTATGGCCCAAGTCTATGTTAAACCTGCCAGCCCTGCACCTTGTTTATCCTCGCATCCAACGAGCCTTACTTCCGATTGATCTGGTTGACAGTTTAAGGACAGCCCCCAATGTCCTCAGGAATTATTTAACGTCACAGACAGGACGATGATCACAGCCAGGGTTCAACCGGAACCCGCCAGAAATGTTTATAGACGGTCTGGTAAGCGTTTCTTAAAGGGCTGGCATGCCCAACACGACCTCTAGTGCGCAGCAGCAGAACCAAGAACTTGCGGCAAAGTATGCGTGTACTAGTTCCAGCGGGTTGGCATGGTGACCATGACCCAAAAGCTTCATCTAGGGCCCTTCAGAGGCTTCGCCCGTCTCCCACCAGCTTGCTGCCCAGGAAGAATGTCGACTCTCTAGGTTGAGCGCTCGCGACACCTCACATTAAGAGAACTCTCAAGACATAACTCACTTCCTCACGGTAAGAAGTGATGAAGAGGGTAGATAAGGAAGAGAGCAACGTACCTCATAATGCTGTCCCCAACCACAGATTTTTCACCGGCAACCTGACGTGCATTTATGATGACCGGTCTTTGCCTCGACACAACAAACAGCGAAATGCAGTTCCACCTCGGCTTAAATGCCACATCACCGAGTTCTCATCATCCAGCGTACATCCCTATGTCACCACATAGCCTTCCCGGCGCGCCCACACGACCCTGGGGTGCCTATCGTCCAACGCCCAAGCCTTATAACTGCCCCACACCTCATGCGAAGCACCGAACAGCTATTGCGAAGAACGAGTAAGCGCAGTTCGAACCAGCTCCGATACCAAATTGCAAGGAAAATGAGCAATAGCGAGATGGCAGAATCCAGATTGCACAATCACATCGAAAGCTAGAAAGTCCCACACTGTCCAGAAAGTAGCATTGCACCAATAATACACCAATGGAGAATCGTAACACTGAAACCGAATGTCATTGAGACCTTACGCTCGTCTTCACCAACATAAGAGTCCAGGCCCTTCCCCCTAGAAGCGCTCTTCCATTTCCTATCGGGGAGGTTGAGGATCAACATTTCTGTGCGCCTTGCCAGGTTCTTGTCCTCAAATCTCTCTCTTATCGTTTTAAGGAAATCCTCAATACGTGTTTGCTGTGAATATTCGACCATAGAGCTGCATCCCGCCTCTTTTTGTAGCGAGATGGCAAAGCTCATGGCGTCGCCTCCCATGCACGACGTTGCCATCAACACCTTGTCCCAGTATGGGATACGTTGTCCGTACAAGTAAGTTTCGATTGCTGTCGCCCAGTGTAACACACTTTCTTCTTTTTTTCCATTGTAGGTCCAGGGCAGTTTAAGTTTTATCTTGTTGACCTGCCCGATTTCCTGAGGAAGTTTTCCTGTTGGATCCCCAATATTCTTCTTCCCTTTCTTATCATCATCGTCGTCGCCATCATCATCTCCTCTGTCGCCTCCAGCTCCCTTTACAATCCTCTCTACGACTTCCGGAGTGAATGTTTTAGTGACATGATCATCCAAAACCTGGATATATGTCTGAACATGATGGTCCACGTCCTTAGCAGACTTCTCTAATTCCACCCGATGCGTTTCAACTCTTTGCAGGGTCTGACGTATTAAGTTCATATCTTGTCTTGTGTTAAGCACTGCTTCTCTGAGTAAAGCTAGCTGAACTTCAGTTGCAGAGGGGTCTTCCTTTTGGGCTTCTAGGGCCTTTTGCAGTCTTTCCCCTTCTGCATGCAGTCTTTTCTTTTCATCAATTTCTTGTCTTCTAGTTGCTAGCAATTTACTGTGCAACTCAGCCCTTTTTTCTTCCATCATCAGGTTTCGCTCAACGGTATCTGTCACCGTGGCCAGCTTGGCAATAAACACATCTCGTTCTTCTTCCGACTCTTTCAGTAATTCGCTGGAGTAGTAGTATTGATTAGCCCAATTCAAGGGTTCAACGGGAAGTTTCTGTGTTGTACTATTCCCCGGAATGTCGATGGGACGACGCCTTTGCAATGTCGGTTCTTCCTCCTGTTCTGTCTCTTCTTCTTCTYCTATGCTCTTCAACTCTTCTTCCAACTCTTTCTCCATCTTCTCTTTCATCTTCTTCCTTGCCTCTTCTTCTTTCTGTTTCTTCTTTGCTTCCTTTTCTTTTTTCTTTTCTGCTAGCCTGCGGTCAATTTCGGCTTGCTCCGCAGGTGTGGGGCCAGACTTGACTGCTCCTGATCGCATCAGCATGCGGGACATGCACACACGTCCGAACCCCAGTGGGAACATCAGCCTGAACAGGGGCCCCAATAATACAGAAAGGGCCAACAGGCCTTGGATGGGATAGTCATCCATGATGACTACCGGCACAGGAGACCCTCCGCCGGGTCACCAAGGTACTATCCCACTGACAGACTTGGTCTTATCTTGCGGTAATGGAGTACTATGCTTTTTTTTTTTTTTCCGTTTGACAGTAGAAGGTGCTGCGTACAGTCGACAATAGATTGAACTGAAACGAACTATATATATATAATTTTTTTTTATTTTTATTTTTCCTTTTGATGTGCTGTCTGGCCTCCTGGGTCGGACTTTTGGTAATGTGTTTCTTGTTGTCTTGCTTTCTCTTTTTTTTTTTTTGTACTAACTTGGCTGGTTGCTTGGTGCAGATATGGAGTACAACGCAGATTTAGATGGTTCACTTATCTAGCCAGACAGGAATACTTCGTTCCAATGTTTCTTTCTGTTGGGCTCAACAGGACCTATAGATACTCAATATCATCCTTATACTGCCCGGTACCTGCTATCTGACGTGGCACATAGCCACTTCCCACATTGATTCTTGGTTCTTGATGACGATACCCAGCCTTCCTATCAAGAGGGATAGGAGAGAGACCTACTCCTATTCGCAGAACATTGGGCCACCTACTCTAGTGTGACCAGTTCCTGACACCTCACACTTGGGTCATCAGACTCTGACAGCTCAGACCTGACAGCTAGGACAACCCAGATCCAGACTTCGACTCCTGACCAGATCAGCAGCAGTCACCTTCAAAGGGTCAGAGAGAGAGAAGGTAGGGGACACACACATGCATGCAGGTTCAGGGAACAGGAGGTGCCTCTCTCTTCTTGAAGATACCGCCGATGATGCCCCACGACGCTCCGCACGCTCCAGGTAAGTAACTTCGTCACTTCTTCTTCGACCTGCTTCCCCACTATCCAACACCTCTTGTCTTCTCTTCCTCYCTCTTCCCTATTCCTCCATCACCACTTCTTCTCGCCGGCCTCGATCAGACCATCGCTATGAGTGTAGCGAGCATCTGCTCCGATACCAAATTTTGCATGGGTCCTGGGGACCATCTCACGCAGGTGTACATGTCATGCATCATCTTCACACGCAGTGATCAATAGTCTCAACCATAGACAAAGGTAGAGAAGAAGAGGACCTAGTTTCACAACTTATATTATCAGAAATGTGATTACGAAGTGTTTCAAAGTTCCCCTGAGTCCAGCGCTCATCAGCGCAACACAAATCTCTGCTCAACTCATCAATATGCCTTCCAAGGCATCAGCGCTACCCCTGCAGATTGTCTCCCAGTCATCAATATGGTCATAACTCATCAACGCCAACTCTGCAGTTCACAACCAACTCAGGTAAGTGTCTCCCATAGCCAAACCTTGAATGAACACTCTTCGTCTCAATCTCTTCCTTCTACGATGCATGCACACACTGTTCTCCCAAGGATCTACTCTGAATACTGCTCATAGCTAAGTAGTAACCCTTCTACTCTACTTACTAACTCGCTGGGCAGCTATGGCTGCATTCCCTTCCAGCGCACAGTCTTCTTCTTCGCTCTTAGCGCATCTTCCTTCCTCCAGCGCTACTCCTACTGACTAACGCACAAGTGCACCAGCACTTCCACGCAATGATAGCCAGTGGAGATCTGGCGAGGAATGAGGCAGGCAACTCCCTTTATAGCGCTGGCCACCCCTCACTGGGTCTGCATTGGCTCAATTCGGCCTTTCCTTTGTCCCAGACCCTGCATTGCATGTGTCCCAGTAGAGTCCCAATGAAGTTCAACTGCTGCTATGGCCTCTCGGCCTGTATTTGGACTTGAAAGTCTGGATCTGGAATGACCCCTTGACTTAAACCAGAACTGGGACTGTGCCTATTGACTTTACTTTCGGACAGGCACAACTCTCAACGAACAGACACATTTACTGCTTGAACAGACACTTTACCTTGCACGAACAGGTACACTGCCTGCACGTACAGACACATTCTTACCCGAACAGACATGACATACACATCTCCTGGTGAACAGGTAAGTCCTTTGGCAATGCCCTTTGCCTTAGATTTAGATGTGCCTGTTGATAGAGAACTTGACCTTTGACCTGCTTTCACGTTTCTAAGCCCTGGCGAGATACATTTTCACAATGCTTTACTTTTACAAGGTCTATGCTGCGTTACTTTGACAAGGCCTGAGGCCTATTTCGGGTAAAGGCCCTTTTAGAAAAGATGAACTCTGGTCCGTTATTTCGTCAATGGATCTGTATATTGCACAAGAGCACCACTACCAAAGTACAAGTGAATGGCTCTGTGGCCCCCCAGTTCACACATCACCAGTCAGTAAGACGAGGGGATCCCATGGCCCCCTTCCTCTTCCTGATAATAATGGAGGCCTTGTCGGCTAACCTCAGGCACAACAAGGACCTCAGAAGGATCCAAATCGCAAGAATCTCGAAAGAGGCAGTCCCGGTGTGCTCCTTTTTCGCCGACGCCCTTACCATTATGGTAGAAGCATGTGTGCAAAACATGGAGGAGATTGGGTGTTGATGGTTTTTGCCGGCTCTCGACGTGGCAATAAACTGGGGGCACAGGACGGTAGGTTGGTAGATGCACGCTCGGGGGGGAACCCCCCCGAGAGGCCACAAATCTCTTAGCTCCCGTTGGAAGCCCGACCCGTAGATGCCGTTGACACCCCGGCGAAAACCGGGCATGAATGACGATTATATTTTTTCCCATGCACTACGAAGCTGGTCAGTTGGAACAGGAAACACACATCGGTTTTCGGGCGAGCCCTGGTGTTAAACAATGTGGTGATGGCCGCTTAGCAAGGCGGCACTCGAGTGACTTAGGAAACAGATGACGGCCTTTTTATGGAGGGGGGATAGCGAGAGCCCATGTTCTGTTAGTTGGGTGGCGTGGGACTGGGTGATCCAGCCAAAGAGAGGAGTACTGGGTATTATCAATCCCCCCACGTAGGTCCAGGCACTCAGTCTGCAATGGCTTCAGACGCTAATTCTTTCTGACACATTCCTGTTGCTACCCCTAGCGCTAGCACAAGTTGCGGCCTTGGTGCCGGAGGTCCCCCCTACCTGGCTCGAGGATAGATATTGCCTGATACCGGAAAAGGACGGAAAAGGGGGGGCATTGATGACAATGATGAGCTATGACTACGGCTCCTCAAAACCCGGAGAAGGCTTCCACTGCCAGGCAGACCGGCTCCCCATCAGTGGGAGGAGGTCATGAGGCAGGCTCTGTTCGGCAATTGGTGGATCATAGATGAGCACAGTCGAGTCAAACTGAAGAAAAAAAAAAAGGTGCAGCACAAACTCTCCGTGGAAGAGATGGGTAAAACACAGGGTGCTACGAGTGGGAACTTGTGGGAAAGGGAGGCGAGTGAATGGAGGAGCCCAGAACAGATGAAAGAGAGACTGCGGTAATGCCACCAACCAAAACAGCTCTTGAGGAGTTGATTGATAGCATACCTCTCACGTGTTACCCCATTCTGAAAAAAGGCCCGGCACCGGTGGAGGGGGATTGGGTGGGACAGACCGAAATCCCAGGACAGGTGGGATTAGTCCATATGGCCCACTAGGATGATGTACTGGTAGAATACTACACCGTGGGAAAAAAACGGAAAACTGCAAGGAAACCGCCGACCCTTTATATGGGGGGACAAGGAGAAGGTGCACCAGGTCAAAGTACTTAAGGAAGGAGGGGAGAGGAGAGCTTACAGGCCAGAGATGCCGCTCATACCTCTCACCCCATTCTGAAAAAAGGCCCGGCACTGGGGGAGGGGCATTGGGTGGGACAGACCGAAATCCCAGGACAGGTGGGCTTAGTCCATGTGGCCCACTAGGATGATGTACTGGTAGAATACTACGCCGTGGGAAAAAAACGGAAAACTGCAAGGAAACCGCCGACCCTTTATATGGGCGGACAAGGAGAAGGTGCACCAGGTCAAAGTACTTAAGGAAGGAGGGGAGAGGAGAGCTTACAGGCCAGAGATGCCGCTTGAGGACCTGCCCCTGGACCCCTGGGAATGGCAGTGGGCACACTCCAAACAGAGGAAGGGTCAGCCATAGAACGTGTTGACATTGGCCGGCAAAATGCAAAGTCAGTATATAGAATGCTCAAGACTAAGACAGTGCTGCGGGGTATTGTGAACGAGAGATGGCAGCGGCACCTCCATGTGAGCAGCCCACCTTATGAAACCCATCTGGTGGTTTCAAGAAACAAAATTCAGACCAGCTAAGGTGTGACGAGGCAGAGGCAGAGCAGCGAGGCTGGAAGAGAGAGGGATAGTGAGAGCGCACACGTTCGCTCACTCAACTCGACGCAGACTCAACACGACTCGACGGACGCAGACACAAAGTGGCAAAAGCCGCAAAGGCGCAGTCTTGAATTCCCGAACACAATGTCGAAGCAAAGTAAAACTCGGTATACGGGAGGACATCAACTGCCATATCGGCTATTGTGACGAAGGGAGACAAGGGGGTGAAAGTGATCAGGGAGGTTGGTTGGAAGTGAAACGTGGTTGGTTTGACGCGTCAAGCAGCTGAGAAAGCGGAAGTGAAACATGGCAGATCAAGGTATGACATCGACATACGTTTTCTGTTTTTGTTTCTTTTCTTTTTGTTTTCTCTTTTTGTTTCTTTTTCTTTCGTTTCGTTTTTGGTTCGTTGATGCTGAGACGATCGATTTGATAGAATTCCGAGAGAGAGAGAGAGAGAGAGAGAGAGAGAGAGAGAGAGAGAGA